AGCCACTTTCAAATACACAATACAGTAATAATAAGTTTAATCACCGTATTATACACTACACCTTCAGGACTTATTTGACAACTGGCAGTGTGTGCCCTTTAATCCCCTTCACCCATTTCGCCCACCTCCAACTCTCACTTCTGGCAACCACCAGTCTGTTCTCCGAATCTGTGAGCTTGTGGTTTTTGTTTTTGGTTTTTTAGATTCCACATACACATGAGATCATACAGTATTAGTCTTTCTCTTATTTCTACGTAGCATAATACCCTCAAGGTCCATCCATGTTGCTGCAGATGGCAAAGTTTCACTTTTTTGTGGTCAAGTAATACTGCATTTTCGATGCATACCACATCCTTATCTGCTTATCCACTGATGGGCACGTAGGTTGTACTCGTATCTTGGCTATTGTAAATAATGCTGCGGTGACATGAGGGTGCAGGTCTCTTTCCAAGATGGCGATTCCGTTTTCTCTGAGTACATACCCAGAGGTGGAATCATGGGATCATGCTAGTTTTAACTTCTGAGAAATCTCCATTCTGTTCTTTAGTGGCCGCACCAGTTTGCGTTCCCACCAGCAGTACACAGGGCTTCCCTCTTCTCTGTATCCTTACCGAAACTTGTTATTTCTTGTCCTTCTATTTTTTTAATAATAACCATTCTGACCGGTGTGAGGTGGTATCTCATTGTGGTTTTGATTTGCATTTTCCTGATGATCAGTGATGTTGAGCATCTTTTCACATGCCTGTTCACCATCTGTATGTCTTTGAGAAAATGCCCATTCAGACCTTATGCTTATTTCTTATATTTTCTCTTCCATTCAAACCCCAGGTTCTGCTCACTTTTTAATCTGGTGGTGGTGTGTTTTTATTTTTGCTGTTGAGTTGTATGTGTTCTTTGTGTATTATGGGTGAAAGTGAAACTGAAGTGGTGTCTGACTCTTTGCGACCCCATGGACTGTAGCCTACCAGGCTTCACCATTGGATTTTCCAGGCAAGAGCACTGGAGTGGGTTGCCATTTCCTCCTCCAGGAGACTTTGCCGACTCAGGGATTGAGCCCGGGTCTCCTGCAATGCAGGCAGACGCTTCACCGTCTGAGCACCAGGGGAGCATTATGGGTGCTCGTGTTCGTGCTGTCCCTCAGTCGTGTCCGACTCTGCGACCCCGTGGACTGCAGCCTGCCAGGCTCCTCTGTCCATGGGATTCTCCAGGCAAGAATACTGGGGTGGGTTGCCATTCCCTTCTCCAGTATTATGGGTACTATCCCCTTATTAGATAAGACATGATTTGTAACCATTTTCTCCCATTCAGTAGGTTCTTTTCATTTTGTTGGTCTCCTTTGACGTACAGAATCTAATATAGCCCCATTTCTCTATTTTTGCTATTGTTGCCTTTGCTTTTGGTGTCAGATTCAAAAAACCATCACCAGGATTGGTGTCAAGGTGCTTATGTTCTCTTCTAGGAGTCTGATGGCTTCCGGCCTCACCCATTAACCTAACACTTGAGTTACTTTGTTTTCTACGGTGTAAGACATTGATCCAGGTTCTTTCTCTTGCATGTAGGTATCTAGTTCTCCTGTGACCATTTATCTAAGAAACTGTCCTTTCCCTGTTGGGTATTTTTGGTTCCTTTGTCATAAATTGACCATATATGCATGGGTTTATTTCTGAGCTCTCTATTCTATTCCATTGATCACATGTCTATTTTTATGCCAATACCATGCTGTTTTGATCACATGGAACACTTCTTAAAACTAATTCCTGGGTCTCAACCCAAATCTACTGACCAGAATCCAGGGCCACCCCCAGCACTGTCAGTACAGACGCACACTTAGAGCAGTCCTGTCCACATCATGTGTGTGATCTGCGTTTTCTAGTAGCTGAGGACTGTTAAAGGCAGGGACATTAACATATTTAGCCCAATTGTATCTAGAATATCAATATTATCCTTTTAACGTATATTCAGTACTTTTAGTTATCTTACATTCTTTTTTATATTGAGCCTATTCTTGGCTGCACTGGGTCTTCGCGTGGGCTTTCTCTAGTTGCTGAAAGCAGGGGCCACTCTAGTTGCTGTGTGCAGGCTTCTCTTACTGTGGAGCACAGGGTCGAGGGCGTGTGCGCTTCAGGAGCGGAGCTTCGTGGCTGACCTCTAGTGGGCTCTAGAGCACACGCTCAGGAGTTGCGGCATGTGGGCCTGCTTGCTCCGAGGCACATCAGGGATTGAACCTATGTCCTCTGCACTGGCAGGTGGATTCTTTGCCACTTAGCCACCAGGAGAGCCCCAGTGGGTGCTGCACACTTACAGCACATCTCAGCTCAGACTGGCCATGTCTCAGGACTCAAAGGGCTCCTGACCCTTGGAGGCTGATGTAAGGCGGCTCTGGAATCGTTACCGTGCAGGGTCTAGTGTTTCAATCCAGACAAGCAACCCTGGAGGCATGGCTGTCACTGGAGGCGGCTGCCTCATTCAAACAGAACAAGTAGAAAGTAATTAGTGTTTTAGGTTTGAGTTTCAGCCTGTCTTTGTGGCTTTAAGTAAATCAGCATCACAGTTCTAGAGTTTGAACAGCAGTTCACTCCTGTCTGCCTTCCTGAGGCCTGAGGGGTTCAGGGAACAGCTCTCAGCTTCCAGATGTGGCTTCCTACCCCCAGCCTTGACCGTCTCCCCCACTCCTCAGGGTTGGGGAGGGTCTGTGAAGGCTTCTGTTGCTTCCCTGGGTCCTGTCCTTATGGGCGCTGGCCTCAGGCCCCGGGGCAGGAAGCCCTTTGCAGTGTGGGGGCTGGGAGATCCTCACTTTTCCGGAGCTGGGCAGATGCGCCATGTGACCCGTGCTGGGAGCGGTACTGCTCCAGGCAGTTTTATGTTAGCAATTTGAATTCATGGTTAAATGTTAAATTCTCTTCATAATTTTCTTCCCTTTTGCACTATCAATCAACTCTAGAATAAAAGAATCAAAACAGTAACAAAATGTAAAAATAATTCTTCTCTCTTTATAGTCAGAGGGCCGAGGGGACAGATCTTCCATGCTCTCCTAACTTTCCCTGGGCTGACAGAGGGCCCTGCAAGTCCGAGGCGGTGGTTTGGGCAGGGAGGCAGGAGCCGCCCTCCCCAGATGCCAGTCTCATCCTGGTGGGAGAGGTGCCACTCTAGGATCCCAGTGGGAACTGCAGCCAGATCTGAGGAATTCCTGGTGGCTGCCAGGACCCAGAAGCCTCAGCAAACAGGAGGCACTAACCGGGAGGCTCTGCAGGAGGCTCCTGCTCTCTCTAGGGTGGGAGGAAGTCACTGGGTGTGACGCTCACTTTTTCAGGTATCCTTCTTCCACCATCCTCATCAAAGTCGGCCTGCATTTTTGTGTTGCAACACCTTTCTTCATTAATGAAATTTGGGAAGCTGCACTTACGGTAGCTGGGGGCAGACATTCAAAGACCAGATATTTGAAAAGCCAGGAGGGGTGAATCATGGCTGAACCCCAGAGCCCCTGACAGCCCACCCCCTCGAGGTGACCCACACACACCCGTCCTACACTTCACAAAAGCATCCAGAATTGGGAACATTTCAAACAACTTGAAATGAGTAGAAAATGAAAGCGTCCCGTGCCCTCTTTGCAAGAGTTCAGCACTGTTGAGCATTTAGCCTTTTATTCGCCCATCAGTGTATCAAGATATTCACGTTTCTGCAAACTTGTGGCATCCAATAGAACTCACCCTTTTCACTTGACAGTGTATCAGATACCTTTCCATTCCAGGGCACGTCAGCCTGCATTTTTTATTAACTGCAGAGCATTTCGACAGAACTGAAAGCAGATCGTAACTTAACCAGCTCTCTGGTTGTTTCCCATTCTTAGCTGTTCTAAGCAGTGCTGCAGTGAATCCAGCTGTAACCTCATGTTTCTCTAAGATCCCTAGAAGTTGCTTAGTCAAGGGATATTTCATTTCTTATTTTGCTAGATGCTGCCCGACTGCCTTCCAGACTCATTGTGCTCATCTACATTCCTCACACACCCGTGAGTTTTTCTTACAGGAATGTCTTCCATAAACCCTGGTTACCTGATATGCTCCAAGGTACCACATACCTTCAGTGATTTCTTTTCACTGCTGCCGCTGTGAAACTGTCTCTCGGGCATGGCGCTGGGGATACACTGCGCAACAAGCCAAATAAGGTCCTTGCCAGCCTGGGGCCTATGTGCCAGTGGGGAGCTTGCTGAACCAATCACGCAGGCGGTGCTGGCCTGTGCCAGGCGTGCTGCACAGAGTGACACTGTGCCAGGCGGGGGCCTCGGGAGGACGGTGGCCAGCCCCGTCCCCCGCCCGTGTCCTCCTCTCATAGGCAGTAAGCAGACGGGACACCCCAAACCTCCCAAGTCAGTCAGCTCGGGTCACTGCAGTAGTAAAGACCCACCAGACTTGAAGCCACGGAGTAGGGGGGTCGAACGAAAGTGCAAGTATAACCTCCATCCTTTTTAAGTGTGGGAAATGTGATCAAGGACTTTCACAGAGAACCACTTTTCTATTTTGCAAGGTAGACTCGTCTTGGTTTCACTGAGCGGGGACCTGGCCCAGGTAGTGCCCAGACCCGGTGTGTGCTCTCGGGCCCCCGGTGGTTCCCGAGATGCTGAGCAGCGTGGGAAAGGGCCTGAGCCCAGGCCCGGGTTCTGCGGGCAGGCTGCGCTCCGCTGGCCCGCTGGCCTGGGTCTGCCTGGAGTAACTCCTCCAGTAGCTCGTCTCCCTGGCCTGGAAGAGGAGAAACAGCTTCCTGTACTGTTCCTCGGCGACACACAGATCTCTCAAGGTCTCTACCATTAAAAAGAGGCGACCCAGCGGGCCTTCAGGAACACGGCAGCCAGGTGCTGGGCTCCGGGCCCTCTCCCCTTTGCTCAGGACTCCGGCCCCTGGACTTGGCCGCTTAAGTCGTGCTCCACTCTGCCCCCCCGTCAGGGCAGCAGCCGATCCATCGTCTCTGTTACTAAATGGCGTGTGCTTCATCTCTCCTTGATACAGAGAGAAGAAGTTAAAGGCCAGAGTTCAAGAGTTGGTGAGTGCCTTGGAAAGACTCACAAAGAGCAGTGAAATCCGACACCAGCAATCGGCAGAGTTTGTTAATGACCTAAAGCGAGCCAACAGGTACAACCTCACTGTCTATAATCCAAGTGGTTCTTGGATTCACGCACCATAATTGCCAGGAACTGACTGTGGACAATGGTATGTCCTCAGCCGCCTCCTTGGAGCGCACTCCTCCCTAGGGCTTCATTTCCCCATGTTCCACAGAAACCTGAGGAATGCTCTTTAAAGAGGGCAGATGTAGCCAACCATGGTCCCCTCTTAGCACTTCAAATAGGAGAGGTTCTGAGAAGTCATACAATTAAAAACAAAAGTCAGCCTAGTTTTAATCCAGCATTTTCCAAACAAAACTGGCTACACGTTTTATTTGAGCAGCATTCAAGAATCAGGTTGGGTAATTCAGGAAGCAATGCTCTAAGATGGGACATAACACCTTCACACTAAAAAAAAAAAAAAAAAAAANTGTTCTTTCAGATTATCAATAAAACTTGTCTATTAGTTTCTCAAATGAGATTTTTAAGGTTTTATTCATTTACCAAAAAAAAAAAAGAAAAAAACCCAACTCATGACATGTAACACAAATGACATTTATTTTAAAAATTACAGTTTTCCAAAAAGTAATTAGAAGAGGGGCACTGTTTTCACAATTTTGCAAATGATTTTAATGTCTGCTTTAATAGAAGACAGCTGGATTCTCCCATCTGCTTCCACAGGCAGTGTGTTGTTTTGAAACATTCTAAGAAAACCCAGCTTCACACAGAAATAAAGGACCTCACATTTCCCTTCAGAAGGCTTTGGGAGTCCTGGGCTTTGAGAACCTGACACGATATAGAAGGGAGGTGGGAGTGTTGTTTTGGACCAGAGAGGGTGTGGGGTGAGGGTGGGGGGCTTCTCTGATATCTCAGCTGGTCAAGACTCCGCCTGCAATGCAGGAGATCCAGGTTCAATTCCTGGGGTCGGGAAGATCCCCTGAAGAAGGGAACTGCTACCCCTTCCAGCATTCTTGTGTGGAGAATCCCCACAAGGACAGAGGAGGGTGGGTCCCTGGGGTGGCAGAGTCAGACACGGCTAAGCACAGCACGGGGTATGGAGACTTACCTAGCTCTGGGCTCGGCCCCCGCCCTCATCCCGCAGAGACCTGGGTTTGGCTGGCAGCATTAGTTCACGGCCTGTGAGCTCTGAGTCCATCAGCCTCAGCATCAAGGACAGCTGCTGGGGCCTGTCTGTCCGCATGCTATGGAGGTGACTTAAGATCGCAGTGTTGCCACGGACTGTAGGCAGCCTTGGAATAGCAACAGACCTACTACTTGTATTTCCATGACAGGTTAACTGTGGTTAAGTCAATACGTGAGTGACCATGAGTGCTGCGACCCTTGTTTAGTTGCTAAGTAGTGTCAGACTTTTTCGACCTCATAGACTGCAGCCCACCAGACTCCTCTGTGGAAATCCCATAGGATTTCCAAAGCAAGAAAACTGGGGTGGGCAGCCATTTCCTTCTCCAGGGGATCTTCCCAACCCAGGGATTGAACTTGCATCTCCTGCATTGGCAGGTGGATTCTTTGCCACGGAGCCACCAGGAGAGCTCAAGTGTTGAAGTACTAAGCACCTGATTTCAAGCTCTTATTTAGGAGGCCCAGTGGCCTCTGTTCTTTCCAAGTGGTACTTACCAGACCAGGTCACCCAGTGTGTGTGTCTCAGTGCTACTTAAGATAAGCCTTCATTCTCATTTCCCTCTGTGCCCACATAGCAACCTGGTGGCTGCCTATGAGAAAGCAAAGAAGAAGCATCAGAACAAACTGAAGAAGTTGGAGTCTCAGATGATGGCCATGGTGGAGAGACATGAGACCCAAGTGAGGATGCTCAAGCAAAGGATAGCTCTGCTGGAGGAGGAGAACTCCAGACCTCACACCAACGAAACGTCCCTGTAGTGGGCACTTGAGCTCCACGGTTCTGTCCGTGGAAGCGAGTCTAGCAGTCACTGAGGAGGGGGCCTCAGAGGACAGGACCTGTCGGGAGGACGACAGGGAAGGTTGGCAGGAAGGTGCCCTGGACTCAGCCTCGGGGCAGGTGGCCCCGGTGAGGCAGTATAGACTGTCCCCCGAGGGTCCCGCCCTCCCCTCCTGGGCTGCGGGCGGCGTGGGGACTCCTGCCCCATGCACTGGCTCCACAGGGCTTCCTGCTGCTTTTAGCATGGGCTCTGTCCCTCACCCACATTTTCTGTATCCACGGTATAATCCAGGCATCATCTGTTTGATTTTCCAGTTTTTGCAGCCTGACCTCGGCCATCTCACATTTCTCCTTTCTCCTTCTGGGGAAAACTGATGGGGGGTGGGGGTGCAGAGGGGAGATGGTGCTCAGCATCTAGAACTGCTGCTTCGTTTCCTGCAACCAGGCTTTGGTTTTCAAGTACCAGGTGTCAACTCTTTAGGAGGCGGCTGTCACTCAGAGGTGTTCCAGGAGGTTGATCACAGGCGGACAATACACAGGTTTCCTTCCAGTCCCAGGTATGTTGAGGCTACAGGTAGAGCAACTCGGTCTGAACAGCTCTGAATGGGAGAAGGAAGACCTCCTTGACCTCACAGCAGAGGTGGGCACGGGTAGGGAACACTCTTCAGACAGGAATCTCCCTGTCCCAGTGCCGCCTTACTAACAGCTGGGAGAGTCCTGTTGATCCGTGTCTGGGACCTGAACTGTCAGGAGGAGAGGGACATTGGTGCTTTCCAAGACTCGGGCACCACAGAATTGCTGAACATGCCGATGGCTCCGGACCTGCCTCTCCCTCGAGGGAGATGCTCTGCAGCTGATCCGCCTGTATGAGACTGCTGCTGTGGCACCAGCTCAGGAGTGCGCCCTGCTGTTCCAAAGGGCAGAGGGCGAGGGAAAGCCGAGGCGGCCTCCGCTGAGCCCCCAGAAACATGGCAGTGGGTGGCAGATGGTGATTCCACGGGAGTCAGTTCTAGCAAAATGGTGACAGGACCGGACAGGACCAAAGAACCTGAATTCTTTCAGGAAGGTCTTCCATTTGAAAATCAACTCTTCACCCCTTTTCTACTGTGATGTTCCCTGTTGCAGTTTTTCAGTTGTCACCACCCTAGGCTGACATAACATTTTAAAGGACCACTTGCCATTTTTTCTGAAGACCCACCCAAAGTCACTTAGAAGAAAGATGCCCAATGCTACAGTTCAAAGATCTGCTTACGACCAGATCGCTGCATTCATGTCGTGGTGTCAGTGAGCTGTTCTCAGAGGCAGGACGCAGATTCCACAGCCTCCAGTCTGACAGGGAAGGACACCCCAGCCACCGTCTGCCAAGGCGGAGCACACCCATCCCCCAAGGATGCTCCGTCCCATCTCAGGCCAGCAGCGAGGCCGCCCCATCTTCAAACAGTCTTCGGCAGCTGGTCTCAGGCCCAGCTCTAGGGTGCTCTGGTCACTGCAAAGGCCCCCACCGGCTTCTGTTTCTGTTATATAAGGTAAACTTCGTCCTTGTGACAATAAGTCAGTTTTTACTCTTTGGATAGGAAAATGTAATGACCCAAAAGTGTGTTTTTAGAAAAAAAAGAAAGTGTAGCAGATGAAACTATTTTTCCCACTCTCCCAGGGGAAACACCTTCCCGAAGCCAAGCAGGCTGTGCAGGGCAGGGACCGGGCGTCACGTCACACAGGTGGAGGCTTTCGTCCCCACCACCACTGCAAGGGAGCACAGAGCCTGCCTTCCAGACACACGGAGCTCATCCCTGACCTGGGCAGTCCCAGTTCCCACGTGATGAGCCCCTGGCCTTACTGATCCTACTTGGCTCATTCTGAATTTATATTTCCACATAACACTGGCTGGGTGAACACTTGGCCTGGCAAAACTGTTACTTTTATAAATGTGCAGAATAAAAGCTTTTAAATAGTTGGTTACCTTTCCTTGTATTCTTCACATGCTCCCCGAGACTCTTGTTGAAGGTGAACTGACGGGCACTTGGTTATTATGCTAATTCAAGGCTTACTAAAATCGCACTGATGAAATAAATGATTGCAGGTGCCTGGATCGTTTTCTTTTTTTTTTAACAACCTGAATTCTTCTTTCTAAATAGGAACAGGTTTATATTAACATCTCCATCACAGGTAGACAATGATCCCCATTATCTAACTTGAACAAGGTTAAAAATGTTCAGACTTTCATTTTTAGTTGTTTGAATCCAGTTTCCTCAGTGGTTACCCTTTTATAGGCAGTCACCCTCGCTGTTCAGTTTGATCTCTGGCTCTTAAGAGAAATGGGCGTCAGAAGAAAAAACTCATTTCCCAGTTCCGCTGGAGTATAATTTCCCACTACTACACTGAGGCAGAATCTCAAGTGAGAGAGACCTCTGTCTGGAGCTGTAGTGCCATCCACACGTGCGCCAACCAAACAGACCTGATGTTCTGTCAAACCCCTGGTGTACCAGCTACCTAAACTGCCACGGGCTGGTAGGCAGTAAGACCCCCTTTTGAGATGATACCCAAAGTGACTTATGATTGTATCTTAAGCGATCAGACGGGTGGGATTTCTCATGCTCGCCCTACCTCATACATACTTTATCATGGCCCATGCAGGTAATTAACTGTTGTGTATTCACTCCCATCTGCTGGCATGCCAGGTTTCTGAGGTTAATACCCATGCTGCAAGAAATTGGAATGTTAGAATAAAAAAAACAAGTGCCAGTTAAAACATGGTTGGCTAATTCTCCTGTGAGGTGATGTGCAACTTGCAAACTTTCCCGAGTCTCTGCAGCCAAGCTTTACGGGGACCCGGGAGAACTGGACGCTCTCCTATTCTGGGAGCCAGTGCGCGTCAAGAGCCGAGGAGACTTTCTTTTTAGGATGAGGACAGCAAAGAGCCTACTGTTCTAAGAAAATCTTGAAACCACCGGTAAGTGGCTTAGTTCCCACCTGCATAAAGATTACTATTTTAAGCGAAAAAAAAAAAAATGCCTCATAGTTACCCATGGCATGAATTGTTTCCTATGGCCCACAGAAATTATCCTGCAATTATTTTTAAATTCTATTAAATATCTTAAAGCTCTCATGAGTTGGGGGTGCTTGTGTTTTGAGTGAAGTAAAGACTATAGAAGTTACCCACTTGTGTTATTAATGACTTCTAATTTAAAGCCATAAGCTTTTTCCATAAATTATTTGCAAATGTATAGCTGGAAATGTGTCTCATCCATGAAAGTATGAAGTAAAAAGATCATGTTTCCCAAGTTTATAGTCACACCTATTTCTAAGTACAGCAAACAGCTTTTAATTAGACAGTTTTTAGAGGTCAAAAGGGGAAAGAATTCTGATGACTGAAATTTCTGAACTGAATTTATTAATTAGGATGCATCCCATAGGGCTGCCAAAGATTTTGTGGGCTGCCAAAGATTTTGTTGGAGGGAAAGAAGCATGAGAAACATTATTTTTTCTGCACCAAGGAGCCGCTTGGTAACACTATAAAAAATTCAGAAAAAAATCACGTTAACAATTTATTTTTCTATTTCTCCAATGGAATGGCCTACTTGACAGCAAAGACACTATTATAACCTTTCACTGAGGCTTGCTGGGCACCACTCTGTAGAGGCATCACTTGTTACAAAACACAAACTGTGTCTTCTTAAGTCACCCAAATCCCATCCTAGTTAACTCAGATCCCATGTTCACACAGGCCAGACTGTAGTTAGCGCTTACTGTCACCTTCTAAGTTCCTGTTTCTCATACCTGAAGTTAACTTTCTGAGTTTGTATTCACTAGTGAATGAATGCCTTAGGCTGCCATATGGTAATTTTCCACAACTGGCACCAAAATTATCAATTAATGTAATGCTGGCTGTAGCTACCACAGCATCAAGGAGCACTCAGTGGCTGTTAAAATATTAAGGAAGTGGAAAAGGATACAAGTTGAATAGCAGCTGTTCACACATTCTTGTTTTCCTAATTCTTATGTAGAGAAAGATACATTTGCATACAGACAACTATTTTTGGTGAAGGGTTACACTGCATAAACTCTCACACTGCATTTGAGTGAGATTTTGCATATGACCAAGAAATCCCTCCATCCCAGTAACAGCAACTGCTACTGGAATAATCACACCCTTGGCCCAGTAGCACTGATTTTTTTCCAGTCAAGGTTGGTACAAAAATCACTCATCCGCTAATTATCTGAAACATCAGCTCAGCAGTACAGAGCAAGTTAGAGACAAAATCCCTCATATTCATGACCTGCTGATTCATTCTGGCTCTACTGCTCACTTCCGCACTGTTCGGCAAATCAAGTCCACGGAGAACATGTTCTCTTTGTGGTCCTCACTCACAGTGCCCACGGACGGTCAGATGAATGGGAGCCCCAATATTATCCATCTGCTTCTGTTTGAACCCAAGGCAAAGAGGATGAGACATGTTCACTTTTCTACTTCTAATCAGTTTTTAGACATTGTCAAGACTGACTGACTTTGCATGTGATTTTAGTTTCCTATTATTTGAAAATGTGCTTTTAAGCCGCTTGAATGTACTGTCAGTTATTGAAGCACATGTGACTAAGTCTGCATTTGTCAGTATTGTTCTACTGTATTAAAATCTCACTTTAAGGTTGACACTTAACACTGTACCATACCTTGTAATTTTTTAGATTCTTCACTTGTATGCTTTAAATGTTTCCAGATGCCTTTAGGTTTAGCTGCTGTAAAATAGCTTTGTGTTATTTGATATAGAATTGTTTTTTAAATAAAAACTCCATTTATTTATACAGAGACATAATATTTTACAAACATTCTTATATTCTGAATAAATATTTCTAATTCCATAATGTGCTTTTACCTGTATTCATTGAAGGATATGACTCTCCTTCTGCAAATACCAACATTTAATGTCAAACATCACAGGTTCGGTAGTTATATCACGAGCCCTTATCAAAGCGGGAAACTAGACAGACTATTGGTCAAGATGGCCACGAGCCAAAGAAATCATCACCATCTGTCACCGATCTCCATGGGCTACCTTTCCAAATTTGGATTGAATGGGGAGTTAGTTATCTATTGAAGGATCTAGATCTTTTTTCCTTTTTAAAAAAATGACTGAAAGAAGAAATGTAACTGTGAGCTGGAAGGTCATCCATGACTATAAAGAAGGATGGTGAGCAGCTCTGCATGGTGTCTGTCAGATGTCAGTTTTCATCCTCAAAGTACCTTTGACAATAAGAGTATGACACACCTTCCCTTTTTATTTTTTTGGCTGCAGCATGCAGAACGTCCCTGACCGGGGATAGAATCTGCACCCCCTGCACAACAGGGAAGTCCTTTCTTAAAATTTTTTTTTAAAACTGCTATCATATATCTGAGGTCTTTAGCAAAGAAGAATGGTGTTTCTTTGACCCCTGAGATCTAAGGACTGGAAAGCATTACATTCAGAAAACCCGACTCTAATACAAATTTAAGAAATGCTGGATTTATGTATTTAACTCACAATACAACCTTGATTTGAAAGTCAACAACCAAACTGCAAATTGAAATGGAGAATACATACCAGTTACTTTCATTTTTTGCAGAGACATTCTACCTTTTAATATTTCTTCCTATCATATAAACATACCTTTATCTTACATTTGTCATTTTCTATTGGTCCAAAGAGATGCAGCCAAAATATTAGCAACTTGCAACCTACAAGTATCAGTAGCAAAAGCCAGGTTAAGGTAGTAATTAAAACTGCCCAAGTAGGCAAAATTTATTGATATTGCACTACAAAGGCTCTAAATTTAACATGTTTTTACAGAAAGCCAATATTTGAACAATCAACTGTAAAAATGTTTTAAAATACATACAAAGGAAACCTTCCATCATTCAAACTGCATTTTTTAAGATAAAAGGTTTCTCACTTCTCAACTGGTGTTATTTACATCAAAAGCTTTCAAAAGAGCACAAGTGTAAAGACAGAGAACTTAGTTCATTTTCTCAGTGGAGGGTACAGCTGGCATTTCTAGTCGATTCTGAAAGTGCAGTAATCCTGCAAACATTTAAACTTCTGAATCATAAACATGAGTCACTGGAAATCCTTTACTTATGATAGATACACTCAAGGTGAATGAAAATCAGTCCTTATCCTTTCATTGAAACTGAGGGGGAAAAAGGAAAACTACTCTTCAGTCAGAAAGTAAAACTACAAGGTGTACCAACAGTGTTTTGGGGTTCCTTTTCTGCTTTTCCTAAATGGTCCACAATTAATCAAACCAAGCACCAGGAACTTCATTACTACCAACAGAATTACTCCACTGGTTTACCTACACAGCCTACCTAAACAGTACAATGCCCTAGCAGCTAACGTAATAAAACACAGTTTTAATTAAGGTAAAAATTATGTGTTTCGTCAATTTTTTCCTACCAAATTTTGTAGCTTCCAATTTAACATAACTTAGCATAAATACCTTCACCTTTTTCATACTAAAACCGACTCCTAAGGGAACTGTTTGAAGCCTCCACATCTTCCATGAACATTACCTAGTCTCCACAGCACCAAAGACACTTCAAACCTTGCTTTGGAACTAGACAAGGAACACGAAGAAATCAATTCTTATTCCCTTTCCCATCCAAGCTAATGCTGATGATCACTTAAGTTAGTTAATACATGAACCACAATTTCATTTGATTCATCATTTTATTCTCAAAGAAGACTCTTAAATTTTCAATGACAACAGGTAAAATTAAAACACCAAGTTGTATGAATCAATACTCAGAAAAGACGAATTTTTAAGTATAAGCTAATAAGCAAACTTTAAAAACAATTAGAAAAAATATGTATATTGTGTGTATATATATACACACAAACATATGTATATGCAAAATAGTTCATTCTCCTTCCCTCTTACTGAAGAAAAAATATCACTGACTCAGACAACAGCAGCAAACTCTGGGAGATGGTGAAGGACACGGTAGCCTGGTGTGCTGCAGTCCATGGGGTAGCAAAGAGTCAGACATGACTGAGTGACTGAACAACAATGTTTATAAAACGGGAGTCAGGTTAGCAGTCTCCTGTCCTAAATTTGAAATAAAATGAAAAAAAAAAAGTAAAACTAATCAGTTCTTTGGGATCTTTCATTTGAAATTAAAAGGTAAGATCCAAACACAAACCTAAAATGACCAGTAGAGACAGCAGCGCCCTAGGACAGTAGCAAAATGCATAAAGAAACTGCAGATATGTTTTTGTGCTTTTGTATCAGTGCATATCGTATGCGTAAGACACGAAGAGTACAAGTCCACTGCTAATCATTTGTTGCAAAGGTATTAAAAACATAGAACTGACCAAACTGCTGAGGAGCAGTTACTACCTTTCTCAATTTCAATCACAACCAATTGTGCTTTCATTTCCTGTCATCCAGTCTATTCCTGAACATCACAAAAAAACAAACTAAGCAATCATTTTACAAAGATCCAGCTAATCCCGTCAAGTGTAAGAAATGATACAATGAAGATTTGTGCCCCAAATGTTCCATACCATAGCTATAGACTATTTTAGAACATCAGATTCAATGAATTGTAAGCACACTGAATGAAAATGTTACATCTTACGTCAAAAAGTCCACAACTGAAGACTGTTTTGTTTTTGGGTTTTTTTGAAGACCTCTCAGAAACCAGAACACTGCTCAGTGCCCTAGAACAACACAGAAGTGTCCCCTGTTCCCAAACCAGTGGAACAGCTATGAAACTAAAATCAACAAGCCCAGGTGGCCACAGCCCTTCCTGACTGCTCACGGCCCAAGGGTGAAAGTTAAGATGCAATTATTACCTGTAAATTCCCACAGTGGCAGACTGACGAGAGAGATGCATCACAAAGAAAAAAAATTGTTACAGAAAGAAAAAAATGACACAAAGGGACAGACTCAATGGCCTCTTTCTGACCAGTCACCCCCAGAAAAGGATTCAGGAACAACAGGTCTTCAAAGAACACTCACCAGATAGAGGTCAGTCACCACAAGGACACCCAAACACCAAATAAGCAGCAAGTGAGTGTTCAGAGCCGCCTTCTTCCACTGGATGAACGGATTGAAGGCTACTAACAACAGGGTCCACAGGAAACAAAACACACAGGCAACTGCCCTCTGCATCCCATGTCCTTCCCCAGAAGACACTGACCAGCAACTACAGAGCCAACACGAGACCTCGTTAACAAGGCCAATTCCTCTCAGGCTGCGCTGCCAAGCTGCCACCGTAACTAGACCACCCCCGCTGCTAACCAGAGGGACCCAAGACAAACGAGACTTCTTTGCCGGTGATTTCCTAAGGAACCCAGATTAAAGAGTCAGTTATGAACATTTTCTCAAGATAAAACTTGAATACTTCATCATGGTTTTTTTCTACACTTCTCTGTACTTCTATGGTAAAAGTCTGAGAACAAAACTGGCGGCAGCCAGCCCTTCACGCCCACTCCCAGGCAGCGGGGGTAGCTGTACTCTGCTCCCTGGCTAAGGCCACCATTTCGGTGATGAACACTGTCAGGGGAAACCAGGACGCCCGTCTGGGACAAGTGTGCGTTCTGTCCTGCGGGTCACTGTGAGCAGCGACCGTGACATGTGCCCACGGGTGGCTGGCTGTGCTCCGGGCTGGGGGAGAAAGCCGCGTGTCAGCACTTCAGTGTGGCTGGAGTCTCAAACACTGACTATTAAAGGGAGAAAATCACTTCAGATTTGCTGGACCCCTTGGCAACCATACTTAGAAAAAAATTAAACCTGGAGCCAGAAAACGCTTGGTAATGGCCACACACGAGACTCTGCTTGGGCGAGGCAATGCTCACATTTCTGGCCTCATGCATCATACAGCACTTGAGAACTGATTTTATCTTCTAAAATCTCTGCCTTCTGTTTTCCTTGCCCAGTAACTATAGCTATCTTCCTCCTTCCGGGCACTTTTTACCCTATAACAATAAACCTTTCATATTTTCTGAAACTGATATCCAGAATTTGCTCCAAAAGCACGAGACAGAGCCTATACTGTCCATTTGTAATCTGCCTTCTTCATGACAGAGGTGGAGAAACTTCAAAAACAACTCAATTCTAAGAACAAAAAGATGCTGAGAAAGCCCATCATAATCTCATTTTTACAATTTTTGGCAACTGTACAAACTGATTTTAAAGTCTAGTACATAATGAGGAACTCAAGGCTTCACCAAACTACCTAGGATAAAGTTTAACAAAACTTATTTAACTAACACCCATTTACCTAGAGACAGGTACTTAATACATAAAGTAGATTGATAACTTCAGACAGAGCGAGTTTGTCTTGTTTATCTTTAACATTACAGGAATACATGCGAGTCCCTTCCCCAGGCTAGAAAATACCTAATTCAAAATTGCTAGGTAACACCTAATTTTTCTTCAATCAGAAAATGTTAATGACTCTGACCTTTTAACTATGATTAATATGCAAAGAAAATACTGTACTGCCTCAGAGAATACAAAGACACAATGGACGTCAATCAAGACAAAAATCTCTGAGCACGTAGCTCAGAGGGCCACTGGTACAAAGATAAAGATAAAAAGCCAAGAGATATTATCATAGTAAGAAAAATAACTGTTAAAAAGTCTAATTTTTTAACTGATTTTGCTCCTTACTGTTCAAGTTAACTGTTGGAAACAAACAAAAAAAAAAGCAAGGGAAAAGGTAATGAAATGTTTTTAATTTTTTTTAATGCATACATGCACTCAGACCTGAAATTTTCTAAGACTACCACAATGTATTAAGTTTTATAGAAGAATTTAATCCTCCTTATGGAAGGATGCCATTCACTTAGACTTGAGGAGTATTTTTATATTAACACACAAATCACTAAAGACTTAAAAGACAATACCAACCCAATCTCATAGCGTAAAATTAATATTGCTATACATCTTCATTTGTACTTACTAATTGATACTTAATGGAAAAATAATCCAAGTTCAAAGCAGCAAGCAGTGACCACCATTCCTTTACAGCATAGGAAACTCACCTTTTCATAACCATGAAAATCCAACTTCACTTTCAAACATCTTCAACCAAATTTCACCCATGCTACAAAAGCTCTAGTAGGATCTCAGATGTCTCCAAATGCTCATGTCTCAGAACACCACTTTGAAATCTTAAAACCATTCATTTGCTAGTTCTGAACAAAAACTTGTGAAAGCATATAAACCATAATTCTATCTTCTAGATTATAATGGTTAAGTACAAAAACAATTCATTGAACATCTTACAAATCATTATACATAAAAGCACCTAGGAAATTTAAAAAAATAAAAAGATTCACAGTACACTGAACCTTGGAACTAAGAATACTGAAAAAGTGGGTTCAACAGACATATTTCTCTCAAAGACATAATCTGTAATTGAAGCCAACACAACTGCTATTCTCATCTAGCTTCTTAAAATGCAGCACACAGAAGTAAGGTATTGCATATTCAGCACACTCCCTTATCTATCACTTGATTTCTTCAAACCATGCTAAAATTTCTCAATCAAGAAATCTAGTTCTGTGCTAAGCATGGCCCTTTTCAAGGTAAGCTGAACACTGAGAATCTAATATACAGGTTCGAGGGAAGAAGTATAGCAGATGTACATAAAATAGGTACATCCAACTTATACATTTTTCTGCATAGTTAAGTCACATCACACAAATAAATTTTAACTCATCTTTTAACATTTTTTAAATCTCAAACTGTAAAGAGAGCTAAAAGCCTCAATACCAAAATTACCATCCCAACAACACCCTTATTTTGTCCCACCCACAGTGCATTAAATGAAGCAGCCCAATAGCAATATTTAACCAAACTAACATAATCGAAAAGAAATAATCTGTTGGTTCTTGAAAAGGCTCAACACCATTAGAGGCCATATTTCTGGTAACTAATCTCTTCTGCTTTAGTGTCAAGAGCTGAAAATTCCAACTCAAGGCACCAGAAAAGACTGACCAAAGCACTCACTTAAACAGAAAAAAACACATTCAAAATCACAAAAAATTAAATGGTTTCCAGACGGCAGTAAATGAGTGAAAACGACTCACCTGCCAGACAAACTAAGTTTCACTCCATTAAGAACAGAAACCTGGAATGCTGGGACCAACTATAAATATGGCTCAAGGAGACCAAAGCAAAGCTGCTGTATTCTTAGAACAGTTAAGAGCTTCCAAAGCAATCTTAAAATGCATTTTTAAAAGGTCACAGAAGGATTCACCAATTTGTCACATTAAAAGATGCAGGACAGTGGATAACCTAGTTCTAACACACTGCTAAAACTGAATTATCCTGCTTAGCACCAAGATGGTGACACTTTTATTCATAAATAGACTTTCTCCTTTAAAATCAAGCCATTGAAAATCTAAAGCAAAGAAAAAGCAAGTGAACTCCTTACAACAGCACTTCTTTTGAAAGTCCCACAGGGTTAAATAGAAACCCTATTAAATAGACTATCTATACAGAATCAAGATTTCCACAATAAAATTTACAAGCAGAGATATATTTTGTGGATACCACATGTAAAGTAGATTTTTAAAACCCATATGACAGACGCGTATGCACGCATATGCTAACACTCTCCCCCCACCCCCAAAGAAACACCTTCAATGAGGTCAGAAGCAGCCCAAACACTAAAGCCCCCTTAAAGCCCTGGTGATTGTCCATAGCTTTACATAGCTAAACTCCTTCTCTAAATGGGCACTGCCATCCTTATTTGGATTTAAGAATCCTAAAGGAGCACAATACATTCCTAGGAGTGAATCACACATGTTGCTGCCCTGTTCTGCTCCTCCCCTAGTGCGATGCTTTATCAGTATTTGGGTAAACTGCACACCCTTCCCTTTTCACTCCATCGTCCAGAGGCTTCAGTACGCTACCAAGTATGTCAGTCTCTGCTACTACTGCAAGTGGGAACCTAAAACAGCATCCGTTTCAAGAGATCAACAACACTGAGATGCAATGTGGAACCTAGTAATGTCGGTACTCCATACGTATTTACACAGCTGTAACAGAGTCGAGTCGCACGAGAACAAAACCACACGACCCGAGGGGCTGGGTGGGACGCTGCAGCTGTGACAGCACAGTCTCGGGGCCCCGGCCCCGCGCTCTCCCCCAGCCGTCCTCTCCCCACAGCCTCCGAGCCCAGCGTGAGCACACGGCACGACTCAGAACCAGAGCCGCAGCTCTCCAGCACCAGCTCAAGCCCCTCCCCAGGCTGAGGACTCTGTGCTTTCACCAAGTGCCATGAGTTCATCTTGAACATGTTATATAGCAGATTCTGACTCTAAGTGAAACCTTTCAACAAAACTCCTAGCAAGGAAGGTTAGCGAACCTAAGCTATTAGAAGCATAGAAATGTGCAAAATGCCACCAAAGCAGATGACCTGCAATCTTGACTTCTGTGACATTTCGGGTCTTGTATTCATGTAATAATTGTGTATTTTAAGTTTCTTTTAAAGTTTTCAGTATAGGAAACTAGTATCACAATCACTGCAGTGGGAAGATGGAGCATTCCCATTAACCCGGCTACTTAATGATGACTCAAATGCTATTTTTGTGACCAGAATACAAGATAAAAACCACAATCACAGAAAAAAATGCCCTCATAAAAAGCAACTTAAATTCATTAGCCAAACACTGAAAAGGTACATGTGTATAAAAAGTCATAACCACATTTACAGTGCAAATTCATGTTTCTTTCTAATCTTCTCTCTTCTGCACAGAGAACATCTCTTCAGAAACATCGTCTCCCTGCATTTCTTTAAAACACCTGAGAAAGGTAAGGCTCAAAGAGACACCCACTCAAATGCAACAAGTCTCTGATTTGGAGACTTCCATATTTGCTGCTATCAAAGGTCCAAGATTTTCATTATAGCATTATGGTCAAACTTGAAACTCAAAAAAGCTCGGGATGAAAAGGGGAACTTGCAGTGTCCATTACACGCCACAGACTGGCCCTCGGCATGTTCCAGCAACTGGTCTTCACCGGAATAAGGTGAGTCATACACAGCATCTGCTTAGAAAGCAAAACAAATAAGCTCAGTTAAGAAATCAAATCCTGCCCTTCACCTTTTGTTTTGAAGGAATTCACATGCAGCATATATTCACCTCCCCACACTCTAAATCTAACCTATGTAGAACCACCAAAATATTTTCCTTTCCCTAAACTGATATTCAAAGTGAATTTCCAATCTATTCTTATTCCAATAAATATTCAAGATCTTAATCTGTCTTTAAGATCCTTAATATTCACCTGCTTTCAAAAATGGGCATATCTTGTGCTTCCTTTGTGGCTCAGCTGGTAAAAAAAAGTGGGCATACCTTTATTCACCATCTGTATTTATATTTTGTCAACATGGGAGCTTCTTGACAGAGATCAAAATGTAAACATTATAAAGATTATAATTACAATATAAGATGTGTACAGATTCCAATTCTAGAAAAATAAAGCTGACGGTCACCACATCTTCAGAGAAAAAAATCAACCTAAAGAAAAATCCAGATTTTCAAACTCACTGTGCAACAAAACTCCAACTTATCAGGGCTTGCCCCCACCCCCGCCTAAGTAGAACAGGACCCTGATGAGGAAAGCAGGGTTTGGAGTAGACACCAAGAGGCTGAGGTAGAAATAAAGTCTGATGTGAGGTTTCCCAAAGCAATAACTCCTTTCATACTTCTTTCTCAAGACAACTCAAAATTTTTGTATCATGCCCAACTGAATTGGGTATACATTATTATAGTGTGCCTTCTTTAATGCTCCTAAACATATGGCTTTTTAAAGATTTTGTGAAATAAGTGGTTTCTGAAGTTATATTAATTCAACTATCAGCCTATCATGTCTACACCACCTACGGTGGCCAGAGAAGTCCTACTAAGAGGACAACCTTAATTGCCCAAAACAGGGTTAAAGCATCTCTTTTTAAAATAGCTTCCATCTTGCTTAAATCATAAACAGTAATGCAAGGAAGAAAGTATGATTATAATGCTTCTCAATTATTAAGGAGCATTCTAGATGAAAGCCTTAAATCTAGATGGTAAATAAATGCTTATCTAATGCATGGGGAATTTCATACCATACAAATTAGCACCTAAGAAAAAAACAGCCTACTGTACTTCCGAATGACACCTATGAAATCAGATTTACAAAGCGCTTTCTACATTCCTCACCATTACTTTCCGAATCAAATCACACACCTCCTTTTCATAACTGAGCATGGAGAAGAGCCAACCATCATCTTAGGGAAGACTATACTTGGTGCCACCTTAACACGTGGGTCATTACCTCCAACGAGGGGGAACAGTTCCCTTCTGAAGTGAGCTCTCTCCTCACTATTAATTGGGTCTACTCACCGTCTAACCATTAAGCAACTATTTATTCGTTTACAATATTCACACAGAGCATCAACGTCTGACATTCACTAAAGTAACAGGATACTGAAAGGACAAATCATTTCATCTTGATCATTTAAATAAATTTATTTTTATTTTTAGCCAGTTTCCTGTTTAGAGAACTTGACCGCATAAGTGAACTTTCTACAGATCGTATGCAACTCTTTCAGCTTATCTAGCACAGTTCATCACACACTACTTAAATCAAGTTTACTTCAAAACCAAGCTGAATCCCAACTGGAAGAAATTTAAAAAAAAAAAAAAAAAAATGACTTGCCTGTTTCAAAAGTATCCTGAAGTTTTCGTGGATGAAGTTTTTTTTCACATTTCTATTAAAAAACACAAACATACAACATACCATATCCAGTTATTTCACTTATTATTGATATAAATAAGGAGATACATTATCAAATTTCTCAGGAAGAAAATTAAACCAGGAATATAATCACCAGCCCCACTCAGCATTGGCAATTTTAAGTAATTTTTTTAAGCCTAAAACTGCTTTCAGTTCTTGATTATATGTACAATATAGAAACACCAGGGGGAAAAAAGAAAATTATTTATTTAATTTTTCAACTTGGAGATAATTAACATTACAGTACATCTTTCCACTTTTTTTCCATGAAGATATGTGTGAATACACTTTCATATAATTATGTAACAGAATTATCCATAGTATATGCTTATTCTACAACTGACTTTTTAAATGTAATACACTATGAATATATCCCTTTTTCAATAAACACAAATAAAAAAATTAATACAAATCTACACCAACACTTTTAATGACTACATGGTAGTCTATGGCATTTATCTACGATATTACAGTTAATATCTTCTTAGGTTTTTTAGACTGTTTCCATGTTTTGATAATTTAAGAGCAACGGGATGAACACTCTATGTTCTAGGGAAACATGGTAAGGAAATCACTTTCAATACAGCCAAACTACTCTCTACAAGGCTGTACCAATTATTAACTTTTGAGTATTCTCAATATATTCAGCAATACATAACTGGATATCTTTTCATCTTTGCCAATCTAATGGGGAAAAGTGGCATCCCATTTTAATTTACTTTCTTGAACTACATATTTATATGTTAATCAATCACTTTTAGCTTTTCCTTTTAAGTTCTTCATATACTTGTCCTCATCATTAACTTTAAGAACTTTTTAAAAACTCATTCAAGTTCTCCCAGACAAACACTAGTCATTTGTGAAGTTGCCCCCAAAAAACCAAAAAGGATTTTGACTGGTACTGAATTAAATCTATATATTAATCTGAGGAGAATTAACATTTACACAATACTATCATTTTTTTTTCATTTATTTTTATTAGTTGGAGGCTAATTACTTTACAATATTGTAGTGGTTTTTGCCATACCTTGACATGAATCAGCCATGGATTTACATGTGTTCCCCATCCCGATCCCCCCTCCCTCTCCATCCCATCCCTCTGGGTCTTCCGAGTGCACCAGCCCTGAGCACTTGTCTCATGCATCTAACCTGGGCTGGTGATCTGTTTCACCCTTGATAGTATACTTGTTTCAATGCTGTTCT